CCGCCTCAGCCCGGAGAATGCTCTGGAGGAGGGCGATTTGGATGCCAGTGGTCACACTGTTCAGTCTCGCCAGGCTGTGCGTGATGAGATTGACCGCTTAGTTCAGACTGCATTAGAGGCCAGGCAGCAGCGCCTTGATGATACTCGTGGGTTACGTCGCCGTGGTCCTCCTCCGGTCGGTACTGAGGTCATTGTTTTTAACCCTAACACTCTGGGACGCGGAGGGAAATACGATCGGACGATCTACCGCGTCCTTGAGATTATTCGTGGCGTTGTCCTGAAGCTGGTAGATGCCAAGGTGCCAGAAGACCAAGTTATCCCCAGCATGATTAAGGAAACTCACTACGCCAATGTTCGCCCTTACTATCGTCCATCCGGGGGGCATGTGGTTTGATGGATGGTCGATAGTGGGCCTCACGCACAGGTTGTGTGCGCCACAGGTGCCTGCGTGCAATCATGTGCACGCGTGTTTTTGCTCGGGCCGAGCAATGGCCAGTCCTTTATTCGTACAACCCAAGTCTGAGTCGTAGTAGACCCCATCTCCATCAGATTTATGTCTTAGTAGTAAGTTATTGACCTTGAGACTTAATGGCATCTTCACTGAGTCGTGTTCATGAGGCGGAGCCCGGTCAAACTCTCACAGAGAGGAACTTTCTCCCGAACCTACTTCATCGGTATTATCTACAGACGTAAGGCTATGCCGGCAGTGTTAGAACTATATCATTCTAGGTACTCGCGGAAGAGCATCCGGATGGCGCTGACGACCTTCCTTCAGTAAATGGCAGTGCAGGTTCAGATTCTTCAGAAGAGAGCCTATTGGACGATGATTGCCCCAGCGATACCACCACCGATTCCGACGGAGATGATACTCCGGCTACTGATAGCGGCGATACTGCTTCTGCTGGTTACGCCTCTCCTGAGAACGAGCGATGGGAGCCAGAAGCCTTCTGTACCATACGTGGAGATATTGACGATGTGCTGGCAACTTATCTGGTGGATAAGCCCTTCTTATATCGAGTGAAGAGTAGCAAGGAGCATCGTGGACGCCAGGAACTGCACCGTAGACGCCACTCTAACGCTGATCCTATCCGCGAATCTGCCCGCGCAACCCGGCGTCAAGCTACCTGGCGGGGTTGGCCCGATGATCTCTGTCCTGTGAACCACATCTTAGTCGTCCAGCGTGGCCTCAAGCAAAATCACAAAGCCTTCTTCTACGGTCATAAGGCTTGCGGTAGGTCTGCAAGCGAGTGGCGTGGACACGATTATTAGTAGAAGACTTACAAGTGTCGGTCGACGACAATTCCTCCAACATTGGTGGATATCGCTGCCGAAGAACTGCACCGCAATCCCACGCTGACACCCGGAGACATGAGAAGCATATAGGACAGCTTCTTATGTCAGTTAGCAGTAGCAGTAGCAGTAGCAATTTACGCTGTAGAAGATGTACTATGTACCGT